TGCCCGGGCGGGTCTCTAACCCGCGGGCTCAGGCAATCCACTCACCTCAGCCTCCCAAAGTGCTGGGATTACAGGGTGAGCCACCGAGCCCGGCTTCTTTTTCTTTTTTTTAAGTTGAAGTCTCACTCTGTCACCCAGGCTGGAGTGCAGTGGCATGATCATGGTTCACTGCAGCCTTGAACTCCTGGCTCAGGCGATCCCTCTGCTTCAGCCTCCTGAGCAGCTGGGATTACAAGTGTGTGTCACACACCCGACTAATTTTCTTTTTCTTTTTTTTTTTTTGTGGAGACGAGGTCTCGCTATGTTGCCCATGTCTATCTCAAACTGCCGGGCTCAAGTGATCCGCCTGCCTCAGTCTCCCAAAACCCCAGGATTACAGGTAGGAGCCACCACCTCTGGCCAGTTGTGTATCTCTCAAATTGTTTTCTCCCAAGCCAACATGTATATATTGCTGACCATATGCCAGGCACTATTCTAAGCCCTTGATAGATATTAGTCATTGAATCCTCACAGCAAGTTTGTGGGATGGGTCTGTTATGAGCCCACTTTATAGATGTGAAAGAGAAAGGCCGTGTAAACTGTCCAAGGCCAGAGGCCCAGGAAGAAGCACAGCCCAGAGTCAAATGCAAGCTGCCTGGCTCCAGCGCCCAAATCCGAGCTCCTTATGGGAGATGGAGGGGGTGGGATGAGAATTAACTGAAGCCTAGCACCTGGCACACACCAAGCATCCTGTCGGTATTGGCTACTGCGTTTTTGTTACCACTGGACGAGGTTTTGGTGAAAGCAGAGATGTGCAGAAGGACCTACCGAGGGGTTCTCCCACTTGGGTGTACCGGGACGGGTTCTCCCACTTGGGTGTACCGGGACCTGCAGTGTCCCCAGGCTAAGTGGTGATGGGAGAGGAAGGTGGGGACAGGAACAGGCTCCTCTGGCTTAGCTCCCATCAGGGCGGGGGCTCAGTGGGGAGGTCTGTGGAGATGTCAGTGGGGTCCGAGAACTCCAGCTGTGATGGCCAGGATCTGGCAAGGTGATCAGGGTTGTGGTGGGTCTGTATTTAGTCTCACTGAGAAAATGGATCTGAATAGGGAAATTGAAACACTGCTTCTGAGAAAACTGAAGTGGAAGGAAAACTTTAATAACTCTTTAAAGGTGCAAGGGAGGCTGTGAGTAGAATGAAAAGTACATGATCCTGTGTTTGGATGGATCAGAGGTGGCATGCAACCTTTGTCACCTTCTTAGCAGGGTGACCATGGCAAGTTGCTGAACCTCTCTGTGTGCAGTGCCATAGATGTGGGTGATAATAATAGCTTTTCCTAACCAGGCTCGGTGGCTCAGCCTGTAATCCCGCGACTTTGGGAGGCTGAGGTGAGTGGATTGCCTGAACCTGCGGGCTCGTGACCCGCCTGGGCAGCTTGGCGAGACCTCATCTCTACAATAAATCAAAAATTAGCTGGGCATGGTAGCACTTACCTGTAGTTCCAGCTACTTGGAAGGCTGAGGCG